TAAATTAAAGCAGTGAGCACTTTGGTGTGGTTTTTTTTTTCTTGTACTTAGCACCATGCAGTACCTTTGAGCAGCTTTATCTACAGCTGGCAGACTCTCTGTTGTTTGGTGATATATGGGAGTTGTGCCGGTTTGATCCATCTTTGGGCGGGGTCGTTGTACTGAAGTCAATCCATCAATCGATTTAGGTACATTTGACCACTGCATTTAGCCACTACTGTATTCCACTGCAAGGAAGGCTCCACTCCGGCAGAACAGAATAATGCTGCAGGAGGGATTCTTCCATCAGCACTGACTGTTTTGGTCCAACAAATTCCTTTCCTTCAGCCCATGGTGGAAGGAAAGAAAATTGCATAATCTATGGGCTGCTTTAGTAATAGCAGTCTTCATCTTTCTAACAGGTTTCTAACAATTTCTACAGGTATTATTTGATCATAAAACAACACTATGCTATCACTACAAATAAAAATTATATTATTATAAATTGTATATAAACAAAAATGTGTAAGATATATCTGTCTGTCCCACTTAGCAACTATACAATTATCAAATATAAACATAGAGGACAGTACTTTTATCCCTTATACAGAACATTATATCAAATAAAAACCAAACATAAAATTAAGATTGGGAGTAAAAATGTGACAGACAAAACGTACAATAAAAAAGACATGAGACAATAATCTGCCACCAATTGGTCAAACTCACCAGAAAAAGATATTTTAAATATATAAGGTCAATAATTTTAAATTGTGTAACATCCAAAACAACCAATAACGATCATCAGGGATGCAGCTCCAAATCCATGGAGTAATCAATGAGGTATAGACCATAAACAAAGAGGCAAAAGCAGCTCCAATAGTGTAATACTGTTTCTTTAAGAACAAGTTAGAAGCAAAATAATCCACTTTCATGTTCCAGGTACTGATAGCACTATGATCAATGCGTGCAATATTGAGCGGTCTTGCTGTCTACACAGGCTCAACTGGTTGCTATTGGACTCACAGTATGTAGGACTCGTGAAGTGACGTACCCCATGTAGCCATTCTCGTGTGCTTCATCATTTGACTTCATCAGGGACACTAGCAGGATACGTTCATTCACACTTTATACATTTCCTTTACCTTTACCTGCCAAACAGTTATGAATATCAACAAAATAAAGCAGCGGCAGCTTATAACTGGAGGCACTCTGAGGCTGGTGAGTTAAATTATGTAAAAATATGAATTAATAAAACCGTCAAATATTCAATTTTAAAATACCTGCCTTAAGAAAGACTATTAAAAAGTACACAAAATGCAGCATACGAGGTATATATATACCTACACCAGTGATATACAGAGCAGGGAAGGAGAGCAAACAAAATCATATACGAAAACATAAAATATCAATACATTTTCAAAGAGATAACTACTGAATGAACAAACATCTTTATGTCTGTGCAGGGATCACAACCTCATATTTCTGGACCATAGGCATGCAACCTAATCTTTGGCCTAAATGCCTATACCTAAATGCAAGTGTTACCTGAAATTTGTATTGATAAGGTATATAGAAAGCTTTAATGATGTGAGCATCACTTGGATGACAGATATAACACCTTTAAAGTGGAGTTCCAGGGAAACTATGAAAAAAATAAAAGTCAGTAGCTACATAAACTGTAGCTGCTGACTTTTTTAAACAACAGCCACTCACCTGTCCCTCGATCCCGCAGTGTGTTCACACCAGCCGGGTTCACCAGGCATCTGTGTTCCTGGCACTGGCATCTTCAGTGTGGGCACCCGGCTGTGACAGCTTGTGGCTTCACAGCCGGGTGCCCACTGCACATGCACAAGTAGCGCTGCACTTTCTGAATGATCCCTTAGTATTCTGGGACCTGTCACGTGTCCCAGAAGACTACGGGGAGGGAGGGGGGAAGGACAACCTGTCAATTTTGGGTAGATTTCTTTCATCCAATCATGTGCAAGCAAAAATGCAGTTTTTTTATTTTCCTTGCATGTTCCCCTCTGGTCTAAAGGGACTGCACTTGTGGTGCACATCCTATTTGCCTTTTGTAAATCAACCCCTTTGTATTATTCTGCAAAATATAAAAAACATAAGAAGAAAAGAAAAAAATATATCATGATGTACTCACTGAAATGCATTTTATACAGTATGCATCCATTTATCATGTGTACTGTAATTAACAGAATACAGTGGCTTATGGATTCTTTTCCATGTTTCCCCAAAAAGGTTAATCAAAAACGTGAAGCAATGGGGATGATTTACTAAACCTGGAGCATGCAAAATCTTGTGCAGCTCTGCATAGAAACCAATCAGCTTTCATTATTTTTTTGTGAAAGCTTAAGTGAACAAGCTAAAGTTAGAAGCTAATTGGTTAGAAGCTGCACCAGAGTTTGCACTCTCCAGTTTTATTAAATCAATCCTACTGTTTTCATGACCAGATAGAATTAAAGAGACTCTGCCACTAAAGTCAATGAATGGGGTTGATTTACTAAAGGTAAATATAATCTGTGCACTGCAAGTGCAGTTGCGTGATATCCAAGGGGAAGCTCTGAAATGAGGTGAAGTTCTGCTGATTTCTTTCATTCAATCAATCATGTGCAAGCAAAAATGCAGTTTTTTATTTTCCTTGCATGTTCCCCTCAGATCTTCCAGCGAACAGCCTATTTGCCTTTAGTAAATCAACCCCATAGTGTAACGTAGAGTACGCTGTGGGCACAATTCACTAAGCGGTATCTTACCACATCTGAGTATGCGGTAGGATACCGCATAACATTAAAAAAAAAAACATTTGAATTCACTAAAAAAATGCTACTAAAATACCGCATGAGTTATTTTATCAAATCATGTGGTATTTTAGTACTGAAAATCATGCATTAATGTTTCAGCTGTTAGTGGGGTTCCCCACAGACAGCTGAATGTAAAAGAATTGCCGGCGACTAAAATAATAATTTTAAAAATGTCCAAAATCCATACCAGATCCTTATACCAGCATGCAGCCTGGCAGATCATGAAAGTAGGGGGATGACCGAGCACCCCCCACCTGAACCATACCAAGCCACATGCATTTAACATGGGGGGTGGGGCTTTGGGGCAAGGGGACTCCCCCCAAAGCACCTTGTCCCCATGTTAATGTGGACAAGGGCTTCTTCCCCACAACCGTGGCCAGTGGTTGTGGCGGTCTGTGGGCTTATCAGAATCTGGAAACCCTCTTTAGCAAGGGGGCTCCCAGATCTCGCTCCCCCCCCCCATTCACATGGTACCGCTACCCATTTACAAAAAAAAAGTGTAGTTTAAAAAAAGACAGGAGACAGTCTTTGAAAAGTTCTTTATTAAAAATAAAAGTAAAAAAAATGTCCTCCAAAGTAGATCCAACGTCAATCGCGATGCCCACTACCCGAAAAAAAGAATTTTTAAAAAAGCTTCACTCCTGACGCTGGTTCCCACCATCTGACTGCTCCGCTGGCTTGACAGTTCTTAAATATGTAAGGGGCGGGGCCACCTGGTGACATTAAGTGTGACCCATACTTCCCCCTGGGGGACATTTTTTTAACTTTTATTTTTAATAAAGGACTTGTCAAAGACTGTCTCCTGTCTTTTTTCACGCTACACTTTTTCTGTTTGGTGAATGGGTACCATGTATAGCATACTCATTCACATGGGGGGGGGGGAATCTGGGGACCCCCTTGCTAAAGGGGGCTTCCAGATTCCTATAGGCCCCCAACCCACAGACCCCCACAACCACCGGCCACGGTTGTGGGGAAGGGGCCCTTGTCACCATCAACATGGGGACAAGGTGCTTTGGGGGGAGCCCCCTGCCTCAAAGCACCCCCATGTTGACGTCATGTGGGCTGGTATGGTTCAGGAGGGGGGAGGCGCTTGCTCCCTTTCCTGACCTGTCAGGCTGCATGCTCAGATAAGGGTCTGATATGGGTTTTGGGGGACCCCCACGCCATTTTTAATAATATTTTGGCGAAGGGCTTGGTATAGATGGGGGGACCCCATGCTGTTTTTTTTAATTATTTTTTTAATTGCCGGCAATTTGTTTTTTTTTACATTCAGCTGATGACTCACAGGTTGTTAAGGACTCCACAGCCACCCATTCCTTAACAACCAATGATAGTACTGACAAATACCAGTACATTCCGCATGCCTGCACCACTTCCTAATTACCGCATTCATCTAATTATTTATTTCCTTTTGTGAATTGACTTTAAGCACTTTTTATGTGGTATTTTTGCTATTTTCGGTAAATACTGCATACTAACAATACTGAATTTACATTTTCAGTATTGCATGAGATATGTGGTCCATACAATAAGCTTTAGTGAATTGTGCCCTGTATCCTGTAGTGACATTGGAGGTGGTGGGAACAACAGCATTGATCTGGAGACCAACAATATTGACACACTGAAAGTGTCAGATTCTGCAAACTCCTCACCCAGTGGTTCTCTTGATTGCGACAGAGATCAGTGGCATGGGCAGAGGAAGAGGTAAGTAGCAAATGTATTTGCAAGGAATACTTTATTGTTCTTTTTTAACAATATTTAAGAATAAAGCACAGTATAACAGTTTGCACAATGTACTAGCAGGTATTGACATATTCAAATCAAGACCAGGTAAGTGTTGAGCTATGATAAATGGCACCTAGACATCCTCCACAACACCATGATGTACTGTACAATCCATGTAATTTTGCCACCTTCAAATGATAAGTAGATTATAACATATAACATTTGTGAAGGTTGCAAATCATAAGGTGATTCCTGTTGTTGAAAATACAAAGGTCATAAAGACTTTACTTTTACACTGTATAGGGTTGTGATTTATCCTTTCAGAATATATGTATGTGTTGAGAATGAATCAGGACATTTTAGAGTTTTATCAATCTTAATCAATTAACCATAGCCTTATTGTACAGGTAGAAGGTGTTTTGCCCCTCTTCACTCTGTATTAGATGGTAAAAAGCAGCTGACATTTTTATTGGTGGCCAACATCTATGGCAACAGCTTTTTCACTGCATGCTTAAACTCTGTGTTCCTTAAACAGTATATTAATGGATTCAGAACAGGGAGAATGATGGTATAAAACATAGATATTATCTTATTCATGTCATAAGCATTAATTGACTGAGGTCGTGCATACATGAAAATCAGAGATCCATAGTATAAGGCAGCAGCTGTAAGATGAGATGAGCAGGTTGAGAAGGCCTTTGACCTCCCTGTATTTTTGGAAAGCCTTAGAATTGTATGAATTACCAAAATGTAAGAACAAAATGTAAAGATAAAAGATGTTAGCATTGTCACCAGTGAAAGGATAAATGAGATCAGATCATTAAGTCTCATATCAGTACAAGACAGATGGAGGAGAGATGGACCATCACATAAAAAATGGTTGATAACATTTTGTCCTGTAAAATCTAAATGCTGTAGCAAAAGTGATGGTGGTAAGTTAAAGAGAAATCCACCTACCCAACAGGCAAGAGAAAGAGAAGTGCAAATATTTGTATTCATAAATTTCATGTAATGCAGAGGATAACAAATAGCTTGATGCCTGTCCAAGGCCATGACTGCCAAAAGGAAAAGTTCTGAGACACCAAAGGAAACAAAAAAATACAGCTGAACGATACAAGATATTAATGACATCTTTTGAACACCTGTCACAAGGCTTAATATTATCCATGGCGTAAACACTGCAGTATAGCAAATTTCAAGGCCAGAAAAATGAGCAAGCAAGTAGTACATTGGTTTTTGGAGGCTTGGTTGTAAACATACAGTTACAACGATAAGACCATTCCCCACGTTCACAAATATGTATATGATGATGAAAAAATTATAGACAGAGGTATATTTCTATCCTGTTTTCCTTGGAATCCCAGCAAGATTATATCTTTGATTGTAGTTTGATTTTCCAAACATAAAGTAGACATTAGCGTGGCAATGACACAAAGTTATCTGTACATATAAAACATATACAGATATATGAAATTATAGTATATCTGCATTGCCTTTTTATATCTCTGAGCACACTGCACAGTGCAATGCCATTGCCTCAACAACATACCGTATTATCATTGCTGCCATTGCTTTTGGTTATGCATGTAGCAACTTTGATAAAGTTACTGTTTGTATACTGACTATGGGAGGGACACTAAAACTGTATGCTGTGCGTATGGACAGCCTATGCTGGTGACTATATTCTACAAATGTTTAGTTGATAATCTTTAAGTTTCTCATAGGTTTACTTTTAAATAAACCCGTCACATTGCCATTTAGGGTAAAGTAGCAGGTTCACCTGATAGCCCATCCAGGGTCAACCTTAGACAAAACAGGGCTCTGAGCGAATATTAAAGTGGTAGTTAATCCTTAAAAAAAAAGAAAAATATCCGGGCCTCCTGCAAGGTTTTGGCATAATGTGCAAGTATGCACTGCATACTAGCACATTATGAAAGACATAACTATAAAATGAAGCCCTCTAGTGGTTTCACCACTGTCTGGGCTTCCATCTTCACCCAGTCTTGCTTTGAGGTTTGCGCACTCCAGAAGTTTGAATGGCCAAGCCTGTATTGATGTCACGCCTGCGCATGTACACAATACTTAGTATGCCGTCCCTTCAGAGCGCAGTGCACATGCATCTATGACATCACCGGCTGCAAAACGTGAATATCTTCTAAATGGTGTATTTTTAAGACATATTCATTGTGCCTACAGGCAAGTTTTATTATAAGCTTAAATTAAGCAAACATTTAAACACATCAGATCTCAAGAAGGAAAAATACTATGCTGGATATCTATACTGATATGGACTGGGTAATGTGTTAGGAATGTAAGGATGCCCATTGTTTGATGGAAATTAAAATTATCAACCTACAGAGGACTGAATTCAAATACACCCTGAAAATCAAAGTGAAAAAAATATGCAGCAGGCTAGTCCGTTTTGCTGAAATGTCATTGCAGCAACTCAAAATGGTACTCAGTAGTTTGTATGGCCCCCACGTGATTGTATGCATGCCTGACAACGTCAGGGCATGCTTCTAATGATACAACGGATGGTGTCCTGGGGTATTTCCTCCCAGATCTGGACCAGGACATCACTGAATTCCTGGACAGTCTGAGGTGCAACCTGGAGGTGTTTTATTGGATTTAGGTCAGGCAAGTGTGGGAGGCATTCAATGGTATACTCTCGCCACATGAGGCCAGGCATTGCCGTGCACCAGAAGGAACCCAGGACCCACTGCACCAGTGTAGGGTCTGATAATTGGTCCAAGGATTTGATCCCAATATCTAATGGCAGTCAGGTTGCCATTGTCTTACCTGTAGAGGTATGTGCGTATCTCCATGGATATGCCTCCCCAGACCATCACTCACTGACCACCAAAATGGTCATGCTGAATGATGTTACAGACAGCATAACGTTCTCCATGGCTTCTCCAGACACTTTCATATCTGTCACATGTGCTCAGGGTAAATCTGCTCTCATCTGTGAAAAGCACAGGGTGCCAGTGGTGGACCTACCAATTCTGGTGTTCAATAGCAAGTGCCAATTGAGTTCTATGGTGCCGAGCAGTGAGCACAGGGCCTACTAGAGGATGTCAGGCCCTCAGGCCACCCTCATTAAGTATGTTTCTGTTTGTTTGGTCAGAGACATTCACACTAGTGATCTGCTGGAGGGCTCTGGCAGTTCTCATCCTGTTCCTCCTTGCACAAAGGAGCAAATGCTGATGGGTTAAGGACCTTCTACGGTCCTGTCCAGCTCTCCTAGAGTAGCTGCCTGTGTCATGGAATCTCCTCCATGCTTTTGAGACTGTGATGGGAGACACAGCAAACCTTCTATCAAAACCTTCTATCAATGGCACGTATTGATGTGTCATCCTGGAGGAGTTGGACTGCCTGTGCAACCTCTCTAGCGTCCACGTAGTTACACTGACCCTAGCCAAATGCAAAACTAGTAGGGAAAATAATGTCAGTGGCCTCCACATGTAATACCATTCTTGTTTTTTTTTGGGGGGGGGGTCATCTCATTGTTGCCCGTCTAGTGCACCTATTGTTAATTTCATTAACAACAAAGCAGCTGAATCTGATTAACAACTCCCTCTGCTACTTAACTGACCAGATCAATATCCCAGGAGTTTAATTGACTTGATGCTATACTCTGATTAAAAAGTGTTCCTTTAATTTTTTGAGCAGTATACTAAAATTCTTGCGAAAGGGTTGCATCACTAGAACAAGTAGCTTACCTCCTGTAATCACCAGCATAATGTACATTACAAGTTTTCTTGAACAAAATATCTCCTTTGTTTAATTTCTTCAGTAATATAGCATATAATGTAATTATCAGCCAGCAAATGAATCATCAATGTAACACATACAGTAACACGCACATCAACACACACACAGTAATGCCTAGTACTCGTGATGAGAAAATCGGACAAAAAATACCACTTTCAAAGTGATTGTCCGATAATCTGATCATAAGTACACAGCTTTTGAGAGCTGATAACGACAGTTCATGTGAAAATATCCAACACACAATTTCCGTTTAATCAGCACAGTATTCATCCGTAAAGAATCGAGCTACCAAGACTGTGCAAGCTCAGAAACAAAAGAATACATTACAATACAATACAATACAATACAATAACAAGATAAATATTTGTCGCACTAAGAAGAAAAAAACAGATGTATAGTGTGACAAAGCATATGGTGTACAAACAAACATGTAAGGTGGATCAATTATAATGCCAAGAAAATGAGGGCAAAAAACGGCACTAAGAGAGACAAACAGGTACCACCCTTCCCGCTTGTCTCTTGGTGCTGTTTTTTGTTTGTGCCAGCTAGTGATTATTATCTACTCTACAATCACACCTACTCACTTGATACCTCTAGTACTTCAGCTTATACATAGTTACTTTCATTTCCTGTTATTTCCGATAGCTGGCCATCCTTCCAAGATTCTTATTATATTTCTTTTTTTTATTTATTTTCTCTTGCTCTACATTATTTTCATTTTCCCAAATGGCATAGGCAGCATTATTATTATCATCTACAAGGATTGATTTTACTACGATACTCATGTAAAGTGTTTTTGTTCTAATCTTCAATAAATTCATTCAATATTTGACCTAAATACTACACTATGGGTACTCCTTTCTGCTCTATATCGAGCACTTAACTCCCCAGGACCACAAGGTGATTATCCCAGGGGCCCAGAGTCCTATTCAGCTGATCCCCTTTGGAGCCAGGTCTACTGTTGTGGACCCCCAGATGTGGCACCCCCATCACAGAGTCATCCGTTCCAAGCTTCTTTCCATCCACAGCTGGAGGGACCTTTGGTGTATATGACACAAATGCGCAATTAAATTATGCCTCTGGTGAGTGTGCAATTTACTCATTTTTTTGCACAACGCCAGACTATATCTATCACGGGGAACTTATCAAGCTATTCTCAACTCATCCGTGGCTTTTTCACCACTAGATATTCACTGGACTATCATTTTATTGTGCATTTATACTGTGCATTTATATAGTGGAGTGAAGGTGTGTGTTATACACCATTACTGCATTTCTTGTTGGGAATTTTATACACATTTCAGGTGGCCTATACAATTTGATGAATTCCAAGAAACTTTGCACCATTTATCCTCCTTATATGTTTATTGTATTTTATTTATTGTGTATTAATGTAAGAGCACTTTGTCTAATTAGTTTAAGAGAGAGAGGCTTGATATGTTTTTTTACTAACCTATGATGATACTTGGGCCTCTCCGATGAGTTGGCTGGGCCCTATAGTCCACTACTATCATTTACCAATATATATCCCCCCCCCCACGGCCTGATGAAGGAGCATGCATGTTCCAAACACATGCCACTCCTACTGCTGTTGTACCTGAAGCAGGAATCACTCCTGCCTGCCTTGAGACCTGCCTGTAGCGGATCTTGCCAATGGTTGACACAAGTTTGACTACTAATATTGTCAGTTGCCAATTTTATGGAAATAAATTATTTGCTTATATTGCTGCACTTAGATGGCGCTGCTTCTCTCTCTTTTACGATACAATGCAATACATTACATCTCTACTGAAATGTTATTCTGTCATACGAGAATTTTCATAACTTTAGTAACCTCTTTATTTTAAATAAGAGAATAGCATGCAAAAAAAAGGACTACCATTCATCCAATATTTTCATCGTGTGTCCGAGGCATAACACAGAGAGTAAAGTACTTACACTTAAGCTGGCCATGCACAACTCAAATTTCAGCCAATTTCTGCTAAATTGGCTGAAAAATTAGCTGTGGATGGCTCTCTGGTCATCACCTGGTTCAACAAACTTTGAACAATCGAAGAAGCTGGGGGTGGGCGCAGTCACAGGTGCAGTCACTTTTTAGGTATGGTGACAGCCATTGGTGCTGCGGCTTCTTGAATACAACAGTGAACAGGGGAGATTCCTTCACTGTAGTCTGAATGAGATAAACATGCATGTGTGGCTAGGCTTACACACATATTAACACTCAATAAGACACATAGTAACACACCGCTAAGAGTAATATAGTAAACTGCTCATTTACCATGCTAAGATGTAGGCACAGGCCATTTTACCTCTTTTTCTCACAACTCCCTTGGTTCTTGGACACACCAGTAGAAGATAAGTTTCCCAACTTCACTCTCTCATCAGCTCAGACAAGCAACAATAAATGAGACAGGAATTCAGGAAAACAGCTGCAGCTTGCACCGGACAGAATACTG